ATATTCTACTTCACCATAAGTTACTACAAGATACAGAATATGGTTCCCTGTGCTATACAGTGTAAACTTGTTGTTTGAAGTCATTCTTAACATACAGAAAATATGAGGGAGTACAACGTTCTTGGTGGCCTTTTAGCTTTTTAGATCTGTGAGGCTTCATAGTGCAGACAGTGGAGGATTGGTGTGGTGGTGAGGGAGTACAGGCAGTGAGGCTGGACCACACTTCTGAGAGGCTGTGAGTAGTAAACAATTAGATGGCATGGAATTCAGTAGGGATACGTGAGGATTTCCTCTGTGCCACCGCTGCTGTGGTTGGCTCTGGCAGACTGAGGAGGGACGCATATCTTTTGCCGAACTGTCAATTTTCCAGCACGTAATCGGTACTCATCAAATGGTTAACCCTGTTATAATGATTCCGTGAGTTCACTCTTGGAGATGTTATAATCTTTGGGTAAACTTTAGATGAGCTGGAGGTATAAGAGTCTGCAGATGTGTCCTGATGGCTGTCCCTTGGAGGCAATAGAGTGTGATCAGATGGAAAGGACACTGGCTTTGGAATCAGACAGAATCCACTTCCTTGCTCTGTGCCCTTGGGCTGAACATGTGAGTCTCAGGTTTCTCACCTGTAAATGGGGATAAGAATACCTATCTCATAGGTTTGGTGTGAGAAGTAAACAAGATAATGCATGGGAAGTGCTGGTACACAGTAGGCACTGGAATAATGGGAGAGCATTGGTGGGCACTGCAGGTTGCCTTTCAAACATCACTTCCTGTTCCTTCTCCCTAACGGAAACCCCTCTTTGGTTCAGACATCTCCGCCAGTGAGGAAACCCAGGCTCAGAGAACTTACGTGGCATTTATGAGGTCTCAAGACCTAATAAGTATCAAGCACTTGATCCCAGGTCTTCTGACTCTCAGATCATTTCTAATCCTTAATACCTCTCCTTTTGGAGGAATTAGCACATTTATCTAACATGACAACTAGGACTTAGTTCTAAAGTGTAGTCCAAGCGAGAGACAGAAGCCACAATGGCTTTATGGCCTCAACTTGGAAGTGACAGACCATCTCTTCTGTCATGTTCTATTAGTCATGCAGTCCAACCCTGTTAGAAGGCAGAAAGGGACCACACAAGAGTGTGAATACCAGCAGGTGAGCTGAAGACATTCATGGAAGCTGGCTACCACAAGTGTCTGAACATTGTTGTGAAAACAGTTTTGACTTTATGAATCTCCTGAGAGGGATTAGGGTTTCCGAGGGGTGACCATACTTTGAGATCTGCTGACATTGCTAAGATAAGTTCTCATCAATCTACATGATTTATGCTGTTTTGAAGATGATTCTCAGATCTACCTCTTCTGCAGTTGGATCTGAATGCGTGAGAAGTCATTTTAAAAATGAGTCAGCCAGGAGGGGCCAGAGAGACTCAGTCTA